AGGACAGAGGGGAGGGAATCAGAATGCACTGTGGGTAAGATATGTGACTGTGTGTCAGAAATGTCCTTCTATCTGTCTGTAATTTAAGTCTTCCATTTGGTCCCCTAGGGGAGTGTCCACCAGGTGGGAGACCTGCATAAATACGGGCAGGTAGCCCACAGTAAAACCAGATCTTATTTGACCCTCAATGCGGAGCTTCTGTCTCGTTATTGGGGGGATTTCTTCTTCACGGTTAGAGACTGCTGGATGGAACGAAAGCCGCTTTGGGGATATTATTGTTCGACGGTTCCTAGCAGTTCGTATATTGCCGTTCGGGAGTTTGGAGCCGTTCGTGGATTTCGATCGGGAGATTGCCGCTTCCCCTGCATTTGGTTCGTGGGTTACAGAGTAAGCGAACAGAGACTGTACTGCAGCCGGGGAAGGTTTACTAAACGGCGGTTTGGCTTAAAGACACGGGAGGTGTCTTAACAATTGGTGGCAAGCGACGGGATGAATCCTACAGCATTGGAGGTCAGCTACGAGACATGCAGTACGAGGAATTAAGGCGTGCTACACTTAAGGACATATTGGAACGCCGAGGAAGGTCAGCAAGCAATTTAAAGAAACGGGAGATTATTGCTTTGCTAATGGAGATGGATGCAGCAACGGGAATGGAAAGAGTCAACGTGCCCAGTACCTTGGAGTTAACACCCGAGGAAATACAATTCAACCGGGCAGTACAAATAAGGCTGGCACATTTTGGCCCCAACCCCTCAGCTGACATCGTGGTTCGTGTGCAGGCAGCAGTTGCAGCACAACAGGCGGCCCGGGAAAGAGGAGCTGCAGCAGCAGAGGTACCGTATGACAATAATGTGGTTGCCAGAAAGAAGGTACCTTTTGCTGCATTTAAAAATTTTGTGGAAACAGAGGGAGAGATTGATGGATTTTTGGCAGACTTTGAGAGGCAGTGTGCGCTACATCAGGTACCTGCAGATGAATGGGTCACCATCCTCTCTGGGAAATTATCTGGCCGGGCTAGTGAAGCTTTTCGGGCCATCCCAGAGGAGGAGATCACCAGCTACCGGGCTGTGAAAGAGGCGCTCCTAGCCAGGTATGCAGTGACCCCAGAGGCGTACAGGCGGAGGTTTAGAGAAACCAACAAGCTGGTTGGGGACTCTTATGTGGAATGGGCCTGCAGAGTCCATCGTACCGCAGCCCACTGGATGGCTGGATGCCAAGCGGTAACTGGGGAGGAGGTGTTACAAGTGTTCCTGCTGGAGCACTGCTTTGATAGACTACCTGCTGGGGTCCGGGAATGGGTCAGAGACAGAAAACCCTCTACCCTACCCGAGGCTGCCCGTCTGGCAGACGAATACACGGATGCCCGCAAGTTGGATGGTACAGCTGCTAAAGCCCCTGCCAGACTGGAGTATCGACCAGCAGTAACACCCGCTCCTGCAGTCTACCAACCCCCAGTACACCGTACCCCAGCTGCACCACCAGCTAACAATTATATGCAACCAGCCCGATTTAATGCCCGGGAGTACTCCCAACCCATCCGGTGCTATGGGTGCAAGCAGTTGGGGCACAAGCGTCCTGAGTGCCCACTGAACAGTGCCAACCAGGCTCAGTCCTGGAGGAGACCAGTTAATGGAAATCAGCGCCCACCTCAGCCTGCTGCTCACTGCCTAGAGCAGGAGGAATTTTGGGGCATTCTACACGAGGCAGACCCAGTGCAAGCAGCTCACCAGGATAATCGCCAGCAACATCGGCAAACTGTGAAGCTGAATGGCAGAGTGGTGAATGGGCTGAGAGACACAGGAGCCACGATGACACTGCTCCAAAAGAACTTGGTCTGAGAGCATCAGCACACTGGGGACACTGTGGCAGTAAGGGTAGCAGGGGGTGCCGTGTTTCGTTTACCTGTTGCCCGAGTACATTTGGATTGGGGAGTGGGCGCTAGGCATGTGGATGTGGGGGTGATGAAGGACTTGCCCGCAGATGTTCTTTTGGGAAACGATTTGGCCCCTTTGGTTTCAGCCTATGCTCCGATGGGCCCTGCAGACGTGAACCCAGTGACCACCCGTGCCCAGACCCGTGCTGCCGGAACCAGCCCACTTGCTGACGAGACCCAGGTAAGATCTCCTTCCCCGACTGGTACCCCAGATCAGGTTCCCTTAAGCTGGGATTCCCCAGAGGAGTTTGGGAGGGAAACCCGGGCAGATCCGACCCTCCAAAGATACAAGGACAGAGCAGACGCTGGGGAGGAAGGAATAGATGGGGAACGGTATGAGTGGGTGGGGGACAGGTTGTATAGGATCCCTAAACCTTCCCAGAAGAGTGTTGCCACTCCGCCGAATCGCCAGTTAGTGGTACCTGCAAAGTACCGGCAGGAGATTCTGCGGATAGGGCATGATGTTCCTTTAGCTGGACATCTAGGGTCCCGCTGCACAGCCTATAGGATTTCACAGAACTTCTTTTGGCCAAACTTTAACCAGGCTGTGCGGATGTATTGCAGCACGTGTGACACATGTCAACGGGTAGGAAAGCGGGGGGACCACCCTAAGGCTGTGCGATGCCTATTATAGGGGAGCCCTTTGCCCGCATAGCCGTTGACATTGTGGGTCCACTGGCCAGGGCTAGTCCATCCGGTAAGAAGTATGTTCTTACCGTGGTGGACTATGCCACCCGCTATCCAGAGGCAGTAGCGCTGTCTAACATAGAGGCAGAGACGGTTGCTGATGCCCTGGTTAGAATTTTTACTAGGGTCGGGTTCCCTAAGGAGATCCTCTCCGACCAGGGAACCCAATTCACCGCTGTGCTCACCCAGCAACTGTGGAAGGTGTGCGGCATTAAGCCGTTACTTAGCTCACCCTACCACCCACAGACTAACGGTCTCTGCGAGCGCTTTAACGGTACCCTCAAACAGATGCTGAGGACCTTTACAGACACTTGCAGAGACTGGGAGAGATTCCTGCCTCATCTATTATTTTCTTATAGAGAGGTGCCCCAGGAATCTACTGGGTTCTCCCCCTTTGAGTTGCTGTATGGGAGACGGGTCCGCGGACCCCTAGATCTCATCCGGGGCCACTGGGAGGGGGAGACGGAGCAGGAGGGGACCCCCATAGTACCATATGTTCTGGAACTCCGGGACCGCATGGAGAAACTGTCCCTGATGGTAAGGGAGAATCTCCAGGCGGCCCAGGGGAGACAGAAGAGATGGTACGATCAGGGTGCCCGACAGCGGGTCTTCCAGGTTGGGCAAAAGGTATTGGTGCTTAAACCTGTGAAGGCCAACAAGATGCAGGCATCTTGGCAGGGCCCGTACAAGGTAGTGGCGCAGATCTGCGACACTACTTACTTGATAGCCAGCTGTGCAGATGAGAGGATCCAGCGGTCCTTTCATGTGAACATGCTGAAAGAGTACCAGGAGAGACCTGAGGATATTGCAGCAGTATGTGCCCCAGCTGCAGATGATTCTGAGAATTTACCCCTTCCCGATCTATTAGAAAGGGATTCCCAGACTGACCTTACTACCCTTGTACAGCTAGGGGACCGGTTGAACCCCACAGAAAGGGTACAGGCGCAGCAGTTGTTATGGGAGAAGCAGGCGACGTTCTCCCAGGAACCAGGTTATACCACCCTAGCTGTGCATAAGGTAGAGACCCCTGGACAGACCCCGTTACGTATACCCCCTACTGCATACCCCCTACTGTATCCCTGAAGCAGTCCGTGAAGGAATGCGGAAGGAGATACAGGAGATGACCCAACTTGGGGTTATCGAGCACTCCGACAGCCCTTGGGCCTCGCCTGTAGTCCTGGTGCCAAAGAAAGATGGGACCACCCGGTTCTGTGTGGACTACAGGCGACTCAACGAGCGGACCACCACTGACGCCTACCCAATGCCCCGGGTAGACGAATTACTAGATCGTATTGCCAGGGGGCGATATCTGACCACCATAGACCTGTGTAAGGGCTACTGGCAGATCCCCCTGGCCGAGGATGCTATCCCCAAGTCGGCATTTGTCACCCCATTTGGCCTGTACCAATTTAAGGTCATGCCTTTTGGGATGAAAAATGCACCGGCTACCTTCCAACGGATGGTGGATAGACTCCTGGATGGCTTCCAAGAATTTGCCTGTGCATACTTGGACGACATTGCGATCTACAGTGGGTCCTGGGAGGAACACCTGGTACATGTAGGGGTAGTGCTGGATAAGATTAGGGCCGCTGGCCTGACATTGAAGCCAGAAAAGTGTCATCTAGGTATGGCTGAAGTACAGTACCTGGGTCACAGAGTGGGGTGTGGGAGCCAGAGACCGGAGCCAGCCAAGGTAGAGGCAGTGGCTAACTGGCCCACACCTACTACTAAGACCCAGGTATTGGCCTTCTTGGGGACGGCAGGGTACTACAGACGTTTTGTCCCTGACTACAGCGCTATCGCTAAGCCCCTGACAGATCTGACCAAGAAAAACTTGCCTAAGCAGGTCCTGTGGTCTCCGGCTTGTGAAGCTGCGTTCCAGGCACTGAAGCAGGCCCTTGTGAATGCCCCTGTCTTGGCTGCCCCAGTCCCTAACAAACGCTTTCTCGTCCACACAGATGCTTCCATGTATGGACTGGGGGCTGTGCTGAGCCAAGTCGGGGAAGATGGAGGAGAGCACCCTGTCGCATATCTCAGCAGAAAGTTGTTACCCAGAGAAGTGAGTTATGCGGCAGTGGAGAAGGAGTGTTTGGCTTTGGTCTGGGCATTGAAAAAGTTAAGTCCCTACTTGTATGGGCAAGAGTTTTCCCTTGTGACTGATCACAACCCACTCGTTTGGCTTAACCGGGTCTCAGGAGACAATGGGAGACTGCTGAGAGGGAGCTTGGCACTACAGCCCTACAATTTTACCATTAGCTACAGACCCGGTAAGCTAAACGGAAATGCAGATGGGTTGTCACGACAAACAGACGTTTCCATCACCTCGTAGTCCGGTCATCCCCAAGTTGACCCGCCACAGGGTCAAGCCGGGTCTGCCGGAGTGTCCCACAAGGAGGGAGCCGTGTGACAGAACCATCTGTCTGCTGGATTTTTGCCCATTCGTCTGTTTGTCCCCGTTCGTATGAATGGCTGGTTTCTATAGCCCAGCCATTCGAATGACTCTTTTTCCCGAACAAATCTGCCGAACGAACGGCCACCCAAGTGAGGAGTGTGCTGCAGGTTAACGAAGTGATCACCATTATAACGTTGTGGTTAACCGCAGACACTTCTCAATTAAACCGAACTCAGGGTGGTCGTCGTTCGTATGTCGACCACGAGGCAGCGGCCATTTTAAATCATGCGAACGCTCAGCGGTGTTTGGCTCTATTTCTATGGAACGGAAAACGGACACTTTTTCTGTCGAACACCGCTGAAACAAGGGAACGCCTGGCTGCCTCCACGAAAGCATGCGAACACCGGCTGTTCGGGAGATTGAGAGCATACGAAAGACTTAACCCAGATAGCCCTCCCATGGAGTCATTCGTATACCGAAAGACTGTAAGAACTTTGACTCCATGGCGATTGAACTATGTGTGTGGGATCTGAGCGCTATTCGCCAATAATATGCACTCAGATCCAGGCTATCTGGGGACATGTAATACGAATGGGAAATGTTCAGTTTTCATGTAGTTATGCATTTTTATGTCTTTTATTATTTTATGTTTAAAATGGCGACTGTCCTTGTCCTGGAGTTAATTGAGTTACTTGGTAATTAACTCCAGGACAGAGGGGAGGGAATCAGAATGCACTGTGGGTAAGATATGTGACTGTGTGTCAGAAATGTCCTTCTATCTGTCTGTAATTTAAGTCTTCCATTTGGTCCCCTAGGGGAGTGTCCACCAGGTGGGAGACCTGCATAAATACGGGCAGGTAGCCCACAGTAAAACCAGATCTTATTTGACCCTCAATGCGGAGCTTCTGTCTCGTTATTGGGGGGATTTCTTCTTCACGGTTAGTGACTGCTGGATGGAACGAAAGCCGCTTTGGGGATATTATTGTTCGACGGTTCCTAGCAGTTCGTATATTGCCGTTCGGGAGTTTGGAGCCGTTCGTGGATTTCGATCGGGAGATTGCCGCTTCCCCTGCATTTGGTTCGTGGGTTACCGAGTAAGCGAACAGAGACTGTACTGCAGCCGGGGAAGGTTTACTAAACGGCGGTTTGGCTTAAAGACACGGGAGGTGTCTTAACAATAGGGTCAGGGACCGCTCCAACTACCACTAAACAGTTGGAAGTACTTAAGAAATATAGACATGAGCTGTTGAAGATAGCTCATGATATCCTCCTAGCAGGGAATTTGGGAGTGAGTCGTACCAAACATCGACTCACCCAAAGTTTCTTCTGGCCAGGCATCTCTAAAGACCTACGGCAATACTGCCAGTCTTGTGATGTTTGTCAGAAAGTGGGGAAACAGGGTGATAGGACCCATTCGGCAGGGTAGCTGTGGACATCATAAGCCCCCTGGCTAAGCCTAGACCCTCTGGGAAGAAATATATTCTGACAATTGTGGACTGCGCTACTAGGTATCATGAGGCAGTCGCCCTGAGCAACATTCAGGCGGAGACTGTAGGTGAGGAATTGATGCAAGTCTTTTCCCCTATGGGTTTTGCACTGGAAATTGTCTTGGATCAGGGCACCCAGTTTACTGCAGGGATGACCAACTGTGTAAGTTATGCGGCATTTAACCTATCTTGAGCTACCCATAAGACCCACAGACTAATGGCCTGTGCAAGCTCTTTAACGTTAAAGCTCTGTACCTTTGCAGCAACTCGCAAGGACTGGGAAAGATTCCTGCCGCATCTCCGGTTCCCATATCGGGAGGTGCCCCAGGAATCTACAGGTTTTTCTCAGTTTGAATTATTATTCAGGCTAAGGTTAAAGGTGGATCAGGAAGGGACCCCCATTGTTCCATATGTGCTGGAGCTTCTGGGGACTGACTGGTGGAACTCACTCACCTAGTGCGTGAGAATCTCCAGGCGGCGCAGGAACGCCCACACAAATGGTATGATTGGGGAGCCAGGAGCCGTAGCTTTCAACTCGGTCAAAAGGCTCTGGTTTTTAAACCAATCCGGCATGACAGATTACAGGCTGCTTGGCAGGGCCCATATCGGGTAGTGGAAAAGAAATGTGACATTACCTATGTTATCAGTCTCTGCTCGGGGGAAGGAGTTAGACGCATGTTAGCCCTACCACGAGTGGACAGAAAATGTAGCCGCTCTATGTGCTCCAGCCTCGGAAGATTTTTATTTTTTTAAATTGATTTTTATTGCAAAAACAGTGAAAAATATATTTTTTATTTTTTTTGCATACGAATACAATAAAACTAATAAAATTTTATAGAACATTGCTGTCAGCCAGTCCGGTCCTGTTTTTTTTAGGTTTTGAGTGGTCAATTATCTCTATTATTTCTTCTTTAGAGAAAGGTTCATTGAGTTTTTCTAGTTGTAGAGAAGTTAACTTTTTAAAGTCTATCCCTTGGAAATAGGCAGCTATGTTTTGTGAAGGACCTTTGGATTTGATGTTATATAAACTAATGTAAAATTTCTCCAAAAAAAATTAGCTATTATATCAGGGAAAATGTAAGTTTCATTATCATATATTATTTTAGATATAGATTTGTTTTTTTGAATATTTTTCAATGTATTAATTAACATCTTGTCTGCTTTATTACTCTTATAGTATTGGAAAGATTTCAATCTTTCCAATTTCTTAGCGGTTTCATTGATTGTTCTTTCATTAATACTTTTTTTTAGATCGTCAATCTGGTCTGAGATGTTCTTAGAAGGGTTAAATTTAATACTATGTATTAAATTCTCTAATTTGATATAGAAATCTAAAAAAATATTTTCTCTCTGTTCCTTATTTTGAGAAGCTAATTTAATGAAATGGCCACGGATCACACACTTAAAGGCTGCCCAAACCGTAGATGGGGATAGATCATTAAAGGTATTTTCTTGGAAGTAAAGGCTTATGATTTTTTTATGTATTCTCTATTTTGTGAAGATTACAGTAGTAACTCCTTCAGTTTCCATTCTGGTCATTTTTTTTTTTTTTATAATTTCAGTTCCATAATGACTATATTTTATGGTCTGACCATGTAATCTTGCATATGTCAATTTTCTTGACTCTTTGGATGATATTTAGGTCTGTAAGAAAATAGTAGATTCTCTAGTAAGCAGTATGTGTTTTGGAAAAACAAGAATAGTCACGCTCGTTTGTATGGAATATATGCCAGGTGTCATATAATGAATTCCCCTGGGCAAAGGAACTGAATTTTGATGCTTGCCTGTGCACATTACCATCCATCTGTCTACTCAAGAGTGTCTGTGTATCGATTTTTGGCTCAATTACACAATTGAAATCTCCCATCCATAGAGTATTTCCCTTTTTTACCTTATTCAGTCTTTCCCAAAATCTGAATATAAATTTAATTGGTGAGTCATTTGGCGAATATGTGTATAAGGGATATTATCTATCGTACAAATCACTATTAAATATTTCCATTCAGAATCCTGTTCAAAGTGTTTTATACACAAATCTATGTTGCGAGAGAAGAGAAATGCTACACCACATTTTCTCCTATCTGGCAATGAATAAGAAGTGACCGTAGTGAAGTCTCTAGAGTTGTTAAAAAAAAAACTTGTGTTGGAATCGTCACTGTTAAATCTTCTTAATTTCTTCTTGTCTTCAGTTGATTGATATATATACACGTCTTTGGTATACATAGTCTTGGGCCAAATGCTCGCCACAATAATATTTGTCTATATTATTGAAAAGTACTAATACGCAATCTGACTTACAGCGTCTTCAGGTTTATTCTTAGTTACGGATACATAATAAAACAACAAATGATGTTACAGGATAATGGACATTCAACAGCAGATGGTAATTGCTGGACTTCTTTACATCCTTACATCTTTACATCGAGAGAGAGAGCCAGAGAGAGCCCAGCCCAGACAGAGCGTGACCTCGTGTTCCTCTGTTACTATATAGATGTGCTCATACTAACGTCAGCATTTAACTCTAGCCATATGAGGACAAAACCCCCAAATCCACATTCCAGAGCTCTCGGACAAAGAAAGACTTGTGACTTATACCATCTGTTACTTATGTCAATCCATGCATCCATATATAATCAATAGAAACATAGAATATGCAATATTCTACACTCCTCCAGTGAGTCTTTTGTATAGCACAAATGTCTATTCGCTGTTTTTTTTTAATAATTGGAGGAGAATAGAGCTTTTGTGTGGAGAATTTAATCCCCGCACATTCAGAGTTGCAAACTTAACCTTTATCTTGGGTCCAGCCCACACCTCCACCTCTCCTCATATGGTCCAACATCAAAAGAAATTTAAAATAATACAGAAAAACATTTATTACATTGAACAAAAATTTGTAGGTAATGAAACCTATCGCAGAGATAATCTCTGTTAACTGATATTTAAAAAGTATTGGGGGCGGAGCCTGACCGCGAACGAAGATGGACGCTTAGTCCGGCGGCTCTCTCTACCCTGTGACCCCAATCCGCCACCATCAGCTACCACGGACGTGATATACCCGGCAAAACCGGCGACCCAGCCCCCACAGACCCGGGCACTCTCTCCCCCATGCGAGGAGGGAAGAAAAAGGAGAAAACCCCCTCAGTGGCATCCATATTCCACCCGCAGAGCGCGCCAAATTCGCCATCTTGCCGCTCAGACATGGAGGGCTCTGAAAAGGAAACAGCACAATACAGGTACCCGACCACAGCAGACTCCCCCTTAACTAAAAGGGACCTACAAAACCTACTGCAGGAAGCCACTGCAGAAATTAAGGCACACACAAAGGCTGAACTGAACCGCCAAATTCAGTCTCTTAAAGCTGACCTAGAGGCCCTGTCACACCGCACAGACCATGCAGAGGCCAAACTCACTAAACTGACTGACACCACCTCCTCCCACTCCCAAGATATCACCTACCTACATGGCAAACTGGCAGCACTTGAAGAAGAGATAGAAGACCTTAATAATAGGTCCAGAAGGAATAATATCAGGGTGAGGGGATTGCCAGAAACGGTAACTAATGATCAGCTACAGTCCTCCCTCACCGACCTATTTAACACACTACTACCAGAGGCCACACAGCAAGACCTCGCAATGGACAGAGCACACAGGGCGCTTAGACCTCTCGCAATGAACCCAGACACCCCTAGGGATGTAATAGTGCGGAT